CTCTGGTTGGCTTCCCTTTTCCTTCCACCATGGTTTTGTGGGCTGCTGGCTATTTCAGGGACTCCACATTCAGCGGGGAGCCTCCTGACTGCAGCAACTCTGAAAGCCCTGGTGGCTTTTCATTCCCCCCGCCCCCCTTCCCGGGACGGGGGCCAGGCCCGTGGTCATCATCAACGTGTGATCAGCACAGGCTCTGAGAAGGCCTGGGGCCCAAGGCCCAGGAACGAGTGAGCAAGCCACATCCAAGTGGGTCACTTTCACACACCTAGCTTGGCAAGCGGGGGGTGGGGGGTCCTCTGGCCACTACCTGGGGCAGCCCTCCCAGCCTCACCTCATTATTGAACAGTGGGGTCCGACACGGCCTGTCCCATGGTGAGTTGACAGCCTGGGGCGGTGCTTAAACTTGCGTGTCCCTGATCATCGTACAAGGAGCCTGCCTACAATGCAGACCAGGGCCCCGGAACCCGCATTGTTAACACAATTGTTAATTGTGCGTGCGATGAGGTGTATGTGGCTTCAGGATCATGCTGCTGGTAGGCCTGTAGGTGAAGCAGCTTCACAAGGGTGGGGTCGGGGAGCAGGGGGAAAGAAGGGGCCGGGGGCCAGAAGGGTCACCCAGAAGAGGTGAGCTGAGTATTGAGAACACAGCGGCGAATGGGTAACAATAGCTCACTCGGCTCAGATGCTCTGTGCCTGGTATAGTCCTCAGCCTTCTATGAAACGAAGGTCTTTAATGCCCCCCCAATACCCCATGAACTAGGTGGTCACCCTGACCTTGTAGAGGAGCAGACTGAGGCACAGAGGGGTTACACAGCTTATCAAAGGTTCTGTGGCTATTAAGCGATGGGCTGGGTCTCGCCCCCTTGCTCTATTCCACTGTACTGGGGCCAGGACACCCCAGTCACCCCTATATGAGCCAGACCAGCTAATACAAACAGGGCTGGAGCTTCTTAGTGGGCGAAGCGTGATGTGGTCGCGCTGTCAAATGGCTCAAATGGCTCTGTTCCTAGTGTGTGGGGGACAGCTGGGGTTTTGCTGGAGGAGCGTATGGCCGTGATCTCAGTTAGGGTCCCCCCCCCATCCCCCCGCTCTCTCCATGAGTCTTTGGCAACTTCCAGGGGGCCCAGCCCCGCCCCTGCCCTGGGGTCTGCGGAGAAGGGGAACGCTACTTGGAGAGGGTGATATGCTCTGGCAGGTACCTGCTGAAAGTGTGTTGTGCACTTGCTTTTCCTCCAGCCCTCATACCACCCTGTCAAGTGGGCTTCCTGTTTACTGACGTGAAAGCCAAGGCACAGAGAAGCATGGTAACTTATAGCCGGTCACACAGCAAGTGAACCGATAGTGGCACCAGGTCTGTTTTCCATGAGTTAGGCTTTCATGGCGCCGGGGCCACCTGTGCTCTTGAGAAGCTGCCTGTCGCGTACGCACTGCATGACTGGGGTGGGTGCAGTGTCTAGCTGGGCGGGGCAAGCTCCCTGTGGCCAGCTGGACAGGTCCCAGCTGAGCTCGGCTCTGGGTGGAAGGGCCTGGCTTCAGGGTACAAGTGAGCCACCAATGGGTCACATTCCACAGATGGGTAGCATTCTGGGCCATCAGGTCCAGAGGAGTCAAAGGCCCAGGGTCTGTGCAGAGGAGCCTCTGCTCCCCTTGGTGGCCCATCCAGGCTGGTCCATAGAGAAGGCCTGGAAACCAGGCTCTGATTCTCGAAGCCCCTTTCATCCTCCCATAAGAAAAAAGACAGTCGGTCACCACTCTCTTTCCTCCAGCCTCACTTCCCCGCGGAGCCTGTCAGCCGGTTGATTCGAATCTGAAAACCATCTGAAACATACCAGCCGTCTTTGCCCATCACAGGCTGTTTCGGTAGGGGGTCGGGGACCTGTGTTCCTTTTCGGGCCCACCTGATGCTGTTGTCTCCTCCAGAGCTCCCCCTGATGCAGTGGGCAGGATGTGCACCGGGACGGCTGGACCGAGGTCCCCGTTCACAGGGCAGCTCCCCCGCGGCGTGCTGGGTCCCAGGGTTCACCCTCCCGTGTCCTGCCACGGACAGGAGGCATGTGTCCGCCGGCTTTTCAAGAACTGTCCCTTGGGTTTATACACCAGAGCTGAAACTCTCTCGTTTCCTCTGAAAGGGGAGAGATGGTGGGAGCGTAGTTCCTTGTGGGCCCATTTTAGAGACAGGGTAACCAAGGCCCTGACCACTGGAAGGAGGCACAACCAGGGTTCAGGTTCTCGCTTCCCATTAGAGTCTTGAGACTTTCACGTTGTCCTTCAAGAGGGCTTTCAGAGCCGAGCAGCTTCCCCCCCAGGTTTCCTGACACCCCCAGTGCTGTTCTTCTCTCCACCTGGACCCGGCCTGGCCTCTGAGGAAGCCTGGAGCAGACTTTTGTGCTTCACATGCCGCGTGCGGCCTGGGACTTTCACTGAGCTTCCCAGGAGCCCCGTTTCTCTGCAAGGTGGGGGGTCTGCGCCCCCCATGTGAAGACGCGGGCCACATGACCCGTGTCTTCCTGCATTCCGCAGCTCTTAGGATCCCCCTCATCTACTTGGGATCCCTTTCCATTCTGCTCCACAGCCATCCGAGGGCAGAAGGCCCTGGGGTGCAAGTTGGCTCTGAGTGGAGCAGAGGCCGGTCATTCCCGGGTGTGCCGTGGGGCCAGTGAGGCTGGTCCGTAGCCAGGCCGGACATTGGAGAGAACTGTGCCGCGGTGGAGACCCGGCGGCCACCCTGCCCACCGCAGGACGTTCAGGGGCCCCGGGCAAGGAGCCCCCCTCTCTCTACCTCGCCCCTCCTCCACCCATCCCTGGGCCGGGCCAGTAGACTTGCCGACTTACCTGGAGAGAGTTCAAGGACAGCAAGAAAAATGAGGGACTTTCAGGGGCAGCTGTGTTTTCTGACTCAGTCATAATGCCCCTAAAAATCCTTATTGTTCTTGCAGTGTGCATCGGACAGCGGCGCCAAGCCCCCCCTTGCCCAGCCGGCCACTCTGGGACAGCAAGAGCTTCCTGGGGTCAGACTGGGATGTCTTCCCCCATCCTCTTAAGATGGGAGTGAATTATTCAAACAATTCTGTTGGGCCCATGCATTGATTTTACGTATATTTTTCCATTTTTTTTTCTTTTTGGTGGAGGATGGGGAGGGCTGGGCATTGAGCTAGTTAGTCGTGCACAGATTGGGATTCAGGGTCTCCCCAGTTCGTGTGCGGTGAGGGTTCGGAGGACCCCGGCTGCTGGTGCAGGGCCCAAGGAAGGCTGTCTTAGGGGCGAGCAGCAGTGTTGGGCCTGCCGGGACGCCCACCTTTTCCGAGAAGTTGGAACTGTTTAGGCGCAGGAGGGGAGAAGGCACCTGGGTGGAAACATGTCGTGTGTTTTTTTTTTTTTTTTTTTAATATTTTTATTTATTGCTAGGAGAGAAAGAGAGAGACAGCATGAGCAGGGGAGGGTCAGAGACAGAGGGAGTCACAGACTGAAACAGGCTCCAGGCTCTGAGCTGGCAGTCAGCACAGAGCCCGACGCGGGGCTCGAACCCACGAACTGCGAGATCATGACCTAAGCGAAAGTCGGATGCTTAACCGACTAAGCCACCCAGGCGCCCCACATGTCGTGTGTTTTAAATGCTTTATTTATTTATTTTGAGAGAGAGCACACGTGCGCACACACGTTGGGGAGGGGCAGAGAGAATCCCAGGCCGGCTCTGTGCTGTCAGGCCCATGAGATCATGACCAGAGCCGAAATCAAGAGTCGGACGCTTAACCAGCTGAGCCACCCTGGCGCCCCTGTACTGTGCTTTACAACAGAGGGAGTTACCTGGCCATTTGGAAAATGCACTCCCAGTGGGTTCCAGTTCTCCCCACTACAATCCCTGTTTCACCTCCTGGGTCTCCTCTCTCCTCAGCAGGCGCCCCGTCCCCACCTTTCCCCGCCCACCCCACAGGTATTTGGCTGAGCCAAGGCCTTAACTTGGGTGGGGCTTACGGATTGTGAGCTGGGGACTGTCAAGAAGAAATACCAATCTGTGACATGACCGCCTCAACCCAGGAGTGCCAGTTCGCAGAAATGTCACCAGATCCCCAAGCCCCAGAGCCTCCCCCTGACAGCTGAGCCTGCCCGTGCATGGGCACACAGGGAGGTGAAGAGAGAGCCTGCGGGACCCTGCCGGCTCCTGTGGTCACCCTGGGGCTCACCGGCCTCAGGGTCAGCAAGGAAATGAATCCTCTAGGTGTTTCTTAGGTTTCCAGGTGCACACTTGCAAGCCCTGGTCACTGGAGAAGACGGCCGTTTGCAGGGCCCTGACCGCATATCATCCTTCGGGCCCCTTGCTCCTCAGGTCTGGTCATCCCAGCCGTGTCTTTTAAAGGGCTGGGTTTGCTCAGGAGCCTCCACATTAAGATCTGCCCAGGAGAAAGGACAACTTCAAGGTAAAGGTTAACGTGGGGGGTGGGGCACAGAGTGACGATTATCCCTTCTTGGTAAGAGGTAGATGGGTCTTTCATGAAATGAGATTGTCATCACCTACGATGGACATGGGGTGATACATTGTTCTTTATAGCTAAGCATTTGCTACCTCTGAGTCACCTATGTGTCCCTGAGGCTCCTTTGCCCTGCCCTTCCATCCCCCCCCCAAACCTCCTTGTTCCTGAGTGCATTCCTCATTCCTTACCCGACAACACTTGCAAAAAGAAAAAAAAATTTTTTTAAGGAGATACATGAAAAATTAAACTGAATACTGTTTCCCGCCCCCCAACTATAGAGCATTTCAAAATACAGGAGGACGAAAAGGCTTACGTAAAGGCCCGTACCTAGAGAATGTTTGCTAATGAAAGAGCTTCTTCCAGCATTTTCCCCAGTGTGTGTACACCCCCTACCCTGTTAGCAGGATTGGGACTTTTAAGAGGTGTGAGGCTCACCACCCACTTGAGCAATGGCCCTGTGCCCTGGGGAGCCAGAGTCTCCCTCTTCTTTTTGCCATGGGGGATAGGCTGAAGCTCGGAGCTCGTGGTGGCGGGTATTGGAGCCACACAGGGGCTCTGTTCTAAACCTGGATGGAGTTGGGATTGGCGAGGCGGCTGAACTGCAGGCTTCGTCCTGACTGGTCTCTAAGTGGGCTGCCGCGCGGCTTCTGGACTCTGGTCGGAATCTGGGCAGCCTTATAAGAATGTCCAGGCCTGCCCCCTTCCTCCCCACCAAGGCCGGTTGGATCTGGGTGGCCAGGGATTGGGGGAGGCGGGGGGGAGACCCAGGGACTGGTCTGTTTGGCTTCTCTTCCTCAGGGGATTCTCAAGCAGCCAGAGGACTATCCGGCCACATGCCCACCAGTTAGAGACGGAAGAGCCTGATCGAGGAAATGTGGCCATTTGCGGCTGGCAGATTTTCACGTCCGTTATTTTCTCTGCCGCTCAGAGCCCTCTTTTGAGCCTCATTCTACAGATGGAGGAGGCAAAAGTGATCAGCAGACGCACCGGAAGACAGCCAGGATGCAGCACGGCTGGGGTTCGGAGCTGCAAGCCTCCGACTTGCAATAGCAGTGCTCTTTCGGTAATAATTACTTATAATTAGCATACGGCTTAACAAGCATATCATAATGCTTTGGTCATCCAGTACCTGGAGGTGAGTGGGTGGGTGCTGCTCTCTCCTGGAGGAGGGATCTGCACCCTGGAGAGGCTGGATTACGGTCTCTTGGTCTCCTGATGGGAGTGTTCCTGGCCAGCCTGGACCCACAGCGGCCCCAGTTCTGGGCAGGGCAAGATTTAACCCCATTTGCAGAACACATCAGAGGGGTGGCCTAGGGGACAGCTGGTGGGTGGCTGAGGCCCCTGGCTCCCTGCCTGGACAGAGGTATCTAGGAAGGACCACAGCCTGCATGGGCTTGCTCATCTGGGCCCTGCCCTGAGCTGGTGGCCCTCAGGGTCAGGACCCCCCTGGGGGTGCCTAGGTCTGCAGCAGGCTGTCCCCACCCCTCCCTCTTTCCCTACAGAGCTAGACTCCAGGAGCCTGGCCCGAGGGCCACCCGGGCAGGCTGCCAGTGCAGGGAACTCACGGGCAGGCGTATTGTGAGGTCCAGGAAGCCGTCCGCCGATCCTAGACCAGTCCGCAGGGCCGGAGGGCCAGCCTGCCTCCAATATGATGGGTGGAGCCAGGAACTGAGAACACTACTTTCCCAGAGCCCAGCAGCTCTGGGCCGGGCCCGCGGGCTTTCTTGGGCACCGAGGGGCCTGAGCCGTGGCCACGCCTTCCCTTGTTGGCCTTGGCTCTCTCTCTCTCAGTCTGGCTCTTCCCCGCCCCCCACCAGCTTTTCTGCAGCAGAGTACAGGCTCTTGGCAATGACATCCATTTAACCTGCTTCCCAGAAAGCAGGGTGGTTGGGCAGGCCAACTGCGCCGGCACCTTGGTGGGAAACAGGGCGGTGGACCTCAGCTCGGGCTTTCCTTGCCCATACTCCTTGGGGACCAGGTGGGGAGGTGGCCCTAAGCTGCCTTGGCTTACTGGGTCAGAAATAACCTCAGCTCAACTCACAGCCTAGAGCAATCAGGCTGAGGCAAGGGCTTTGAGCTCCTGGAGCTGGGGACGGGGGAGGGATAAGCCTTTGCTCAGGAGTCTGATCAGGGGCAGTCACTTAGCTGGGGGCCTTGGGTAACCCCCCCCCACCTCTGAGTCTGTTGCCTCATTTGTTTGATGGGCATGACGGTGCCCTTTAGAAATATGTCTGAATCCACGGCTTCCGAATGCAAGAATGAAGGTGTCATTTCCCTCTTCTCTCCCTTTTCAGGAGGACACTTCAACAGAGAACCCTGGGGAGGCGTCTGGCACGGAGAAGATGCTCACTTGATGTAGTCGCACCGCTCGGGAAGTGAGGTTTGGGTCTCAGTGTGTTGGAAAGGGTCTTCCGTCCTTATCTCTGCAAAGAAGCCCTTTCCTTCCACTTCCTCTCTGGCTCTCCTACCCTGGCCGGACCGTATAGGGATCATGGCTCTGGCTTGAGACGCTGCATTCCTCTCCGGCCCGGCCCGCTGAGACCCAGAGCCCAGGGAGGCGTCCTTCCCCTCCTGGATGTTCATCCTGCAAGTCCAGACGCCGTCAACTCCAAGGCGTTCCCTCTGGGCCTGGGCCAGAGTGGCTGCGGCCGAGCTCCTCCCTCCCCCTCCAGCCTCCTTGGGTGCAGACAGCCCAGCACAGGCAGGAAGGGCCTTCTGTTTGCCTTGGCTGGTGGGGAAGAGATTAGTGCTCACTTTCTGTTATGACTCTTGTATCTAACTAGCAGGCAGGCCCATGACGTCGAAGAGAAGCACACTTGAGCCTTGGATGAGGTTGGGCCCTGTGCCTGACCACTGCCAGGGTGTCCGGGGGTAGGAATGGGTGGTAACACCACCCCTGGGGCATGTGGAGAAATGTGGTGGCCGCCTGTCAGCTTTCCCTACCCAGCATCCATGGCCCTTTCTGCTGATAATGCCTCTTCTCCTTCGAGAGGTCGCTTCTCCCCAATGTCGCCACAGAAACTCCCCTTTGGAAAGTTTGCAGCAACTACGGGGAAAGAGGCATTTGTTTTTTGTGGGATTTGCCGGGTCGATGGACCTGCTGGTGGCCAGCCTGTTCTCTGCTTGAGGTCGAAGCCAGCAAAGAGGAAAAAGCTCAGAGATGGAGAGAATATACTGTCCAGATACCCATAAGCCCCTGGATCCAGCCATGCCTGAAGCTGACTATACTCCTGGATTAACCTGATTCTATGAGCCAATGCATTTCTTCTTTGCTAAAATTATCCTAAGTTGGGGTTCTGTCATGGAAAGGGTCCTATTTAATAAAGCAGTGTTTTTCTTTGGTCTCATTAAAAAAAATCAACTTTGAGGTATACTTTCCATGCAATAAAGTCTACCCATTTGAAGCACCCAAGTCATACGTTTTCTGAAATGTGTACACCCTTGTAACTACCACTGCAGTCGAGATGTAGAACATTTCAAGTTCTCTTATTCCTCCTTAGAGTCCTTTAAGTGTAAAGGACCAAGCACTGACCAGCCTTTGTTGTAGAGATTAATTTCGCCTTTCTAGAATTTTCATATAAATATTCTCATTTAGTGTTTGTGCTTTTGTGTCTGGCTGCTTTTATTCAGCAGGTCTTTGAGATTCCCTCAGTAGTTCCTTATTTCTGAGAAGCATTCCATTGTATGGATGTGCCCCAGTTGGCTTAGCCATTTATCTGCTGATGGACATTTAGGCGGTTTCCAGATTTTTGACTATTACGAATAAAGCTGTTTTAAACATTGGGGTGCCCAGGTGGCTCAGTTAAGCATCTCTTGATCTCAGCTCAGGTATGATCTCACAGTTCGTGGGTTTGAGGCCCATGTTGGGCTTTGTGCTGACACAGTGGAGCCTGCTTCGGATTCTTTCTCTCTCTCAAAATAAATAGACTTAAAAAAATTTTTTTTAGAAAGCTGTTTGGACATTGACCACAAGTCTGCATGTATGCATGTGTTTCCATTTTTGTGCCTCGACATCAGTGTCATTTTATAGTTGAGGCCAAGGCTCAGAGAAGTAAAATGACTTGTCCAAGGTCACACGGCTGATTGATCTTGCACCTTGCACAGGGAACACAAGTAGGGCAGTTACATAGCACAGGTGTGTGGGTGTTCCTTAAGAAACAACCTCGGACTGCTTGGGGACAGAGCTTGTGGGCTTCTGTGCTCAGGAACGTCATGGCCAGGAGGGACGGTCAAAATTGAGTTACAGCCGTGTCCCTCACCTTTGTGTCCCTTGTTTTTCCCCCCGTGGATTCCACTGTTAGAGATTGTATCTCCTACACAGACTGCGTTCCTGAAGCCAGAATCTACTTCCCCAAACACATGAAGATCCAGAACTATCTGAGCGGACAGTCACTGAGCAAGCTTGTAGGAAGATTTGGAGCTGAAGTCCCTCCAGCCCAAACTGGAGACCCACTTTTTCGGGCTGGGGACCAACCAATCATGGAGCTGCCTCAGAAGTCGGAAGATGTCGAGTGGGTAAGTCCTGATTGAATCCAGCCTCTCCTCTCACAAGTTCTTCCACCAGATCTCTGCCTCCGAGTCTTCTCTCTGCTGAGGTCAGCCCTGGGAGTTCAAGTGCATGTTGTGAACGCAACAGGGGTCAACTCCCTTAGGACTCCAAGTCATCTAGCTGTGCCAAAGCCAGATGCATCTCTGGCCCTTTCTCTCCTTCAGTGGAGTCGCCTGCAACTGAGAGTCCTGGCCGGTACAGCTTAGCCAGGACCTCACCCTTCAACGAAGCTTCTCCCGAGGTCTCCAGGCAAAGTCAACGAATGGCCAGTCCGGTGCAGCTCTGGCGAGGCAGGGGCAGATGCTGCTAAGGGTTTTGTGTGCATTGTCTCATATCCTCTCAACAACCCTAGGGGAGGTACTTCCCTGTGAGGGAAACCGGCACAGAGCTGCAGCTGTATCACACCTGGAACGTGGGTGCATTGCATGCATCTTGTGGGCCCCTACGGATTCTATCTGCCCCCCCCGTCCACCAGACTCCTAGCTGCTTACTCTGCCTCCACCACAGCCGTTGCACGGCTGACAGGCTGACTCGACCGAGGCCACGTCCCAGGTAAAGGCCACCAAAGGGGCCAGCAGTAAGCCCGGAGGGAGCCCGTTCCCAGGGATGAACCAGGGAGGTGAGGTGGGGGCATACGTTCCTCTCCTCCCTCCCTCGGACCATCTGATGCACGTTTTCCTCGCAGGGTCTGTTGTAAAGCAGCGACTGCGCGGTTATCCGTCGCCTCGCATTGCTTCCCATCCTTCTCTACCTCCCCACTCTCTTCCCTCCCTCTTGCGACCTTGAAGTTCCCCCTCTGAGTTACCAGCGCTCAGTCCCTAGCCAATGGCTCCATTTCCGGGGGAGCACAGGCCGTCTGGTGCCTGGGGCCGCACCACACTGCTTCAGTGAACGGGGAACAAGTACGTCATTGCCCTAAAGACGGGAAATAGGGGCAAGGACAGTGTCAAGTTCATCGGCTCATTCCCCTTTGTCTCCTCCCTACACACCCGTTCACTAGGTTTAATCAGTCAACTCTTCTCTAACCTCCCCCGTAAGTTCAGAGCCTGGGGTCTCCCCCACTAACCCCCGTCCGGTAGAGTTCATGTTCCTTGAGCCCCCACTTGCTCGTATGTGATACTGGCAAGGTACTCAGCCTCTCCGAGCCACTTTCCCCATCTGTAAAATGGGAATGAGAATGGTCTCACCACACAGGACCGTTGAGAGGTTTAACTGATAGTTTTGTGCCTGGCACGTAGTAGGTGTAGACACCATTGTTGAGCAGTCCTGTTCAACGTCACCTCTTCCAAGAGAGCCCTGCTCTCTTGAAAACCCTCCTCCTCCATTCTCAGTCCCTACTGAGTAAATGGGGCCATCCCCCACCCCATTCCCAAGCCCATCGCCAGACCCAGGCCAATCGGCCCATCCCAATACTGACCTCAAGTGTTGGCTCAGGCCTGGGCACGAGACCCAAGTTGGACTGGTCCTTGCAACCGTGTCCTGAAGTTTCTGGAACAAGAAGGAAAGGGGTGCTGGCTCTTTGCTGAGATCATCAGCTTGGAGCCACGAGGAGCCGCTGTTACTATTTGAGAGTGATGTCAGGAGGCAGCGGCACCACGAGGTGGAGCGGGTCACAGAGCGCTGATGACGTCTTCGGGGCTCCTGGGTCCAGTCGTGCCAGGGGCTAGTTAACCCCCGCTGTTTTTAGGAATCAACACACAAACCAAAGTTTTTAAATTTACATAAGCCGGTTTGGGTTGAGTTTCAATTACTTAAAACTGAAGTGGTCTTGACTAATCCGGTAGGTTCTCCGTATAACTCTGTATAATTGCAATTATTGCAATTAACATGGTTATTATAAACACATTACCAGGAAGGTGCAGCCATGGGGAGGCCTGGGCCAGGTTCCCTCGGGGGCTGATGCTGCTCTCCGCACATTGTACCCTGGATATCAGCTCCCCAAGAGCGGGGGTGGGGGATTCGTGTCTCAGGTGGCCAGCGTCTGCCGCAGGGTAGGAGGGCTAGGGGACATCTGCTGAATGAAAAGTGAAGGAGGCTTGCAGCCCCCTGCCCCCTTCACTATGCCCTGCCTTCCAGCTCCCACACCAGGTACACGTTTGCCCTCGTTGCTTGTCCTTGGCCGATGTCTGAACCCACTGGGGTGTCCGCCAGGAGACCGTCCCGGCAAACCAGTCTATTGTTTTCACAGCATCCTTTTGAGGGCTTCATTCATCCCCTTATCTGTTCAGATAGTGTTTTAAAAAAATCTTTATTAAAAGTGTTCGTTCTATGGGACGCCTGGGTGGCTCAGTTGGCCAAGCGTCAGACTCTTGATTTCTGCTTAGGTCACGATCTCACGGTTGTGAGATCGAGCCCCACATCGGGCTCTGCACCAGGCATGTAGCCCGCTTAGGATTCTCTCTCTCCCTTGCCCTCTGCCCCTCCCCTGCTCGCATGTTTTCTCTCTAAAAAAAAGGTAATGAATTAGGGATACCTGGGCGGCTCAGTCACTTGAGTGTCCAACTCTTGATTTTGGCTCAGGTCATGATCCGTTGTGGGATCCAGCTCCATGTCCGGCTCCAGGCTGAGCGTGGGGCCTGGTTAAGATTCTCCATCTCCCTCCTGCCCCTCTCCCCTGCTCACTCTCTCTTTCTCTCTAAAACAAAAAAATAATTAAAAATTTAAAAAGTGTCCATTATAGACTATCTTACACCACTCACAAAAAGTAACTCAAATGGTTTAAAGACTTCAGTCTAAGGCCAGAAGCCACAAACACCCAGAAGAAAACAAAAGGAAAAAGCTCCTTGACACAGGTCTTGGCAATGATGTCTTCAATGGAACACCGCAAGTACAAGCAACAAAATAAAAAACAAGAAGGAGTACATCAAACAAGAAGCTTCTGCACAACAAAAGAAATCAAAACAAAAGAACTCACCGACAATGTCGAAAGATGCCCTACAGAATGGGAAAAAAATATTTACAAATCATGTCTGATAAGGAGTTAATATCCCAAACGTATAAAGCCTGCATGCAACTCAGTAGTGAAAAAACAGTTTAATTTAAAACTGGGCAAAGGACCCGAAGAGACATTTTCCCAGAGAAGATGTACAAATGGTCGATACATGAAAAGGTGCCCAACATCACTCATCATCAGGGAAACGCAAGTCAAAACCACAATGAGAGATCACCCCACACCTGTCAGAATGGCCAGTATCCAGAAGATAAGAGATAACAGATGCCGGTGAGGATGTGGGGAAAGGGGGATTGTAAACTGGTGAAGTCACTATGGAAAACAGAATGGAGGCTCCTCAAAAAAATTAAAAAGTGAAATACCATATGATCCAGTAATTCCTCTACAGGACATTCACCCAAAGAAAACAAAAATACCAGTTTGGAAAGATACA